TTTTTTTTACAAAAAAATAACTCAATAAATTAAAGGTCCGGTAATACGAGCAACATTTTTCTTCAACTTGTCTCGCAACTTTGTTGCATTGCAAGTTGAAACCCTCTGTTACGCGTATTACGACGTTTGTGACCAACTTGTCTCGCAGCAAAATACAGTGTTGCAAGTCTGCGGAATTCTTCACGTATAATTGGTCAATCCTGTTTAAATAAAGATGGAGCCTTCTTTCAAATAATTTAGCGTTTCCACGAACTTCCACTTCGATTTCTGGAAGTCATTTTCTTCTTAACTTTCCGTGCCAGCGAAGTTCTCACCTGCAGTATGAAGCTCGCTTTCGTTTCAGATTGCTAGGCGAAAAGTTGTATTTTTGCGACAGTTCTTCCAGACTTCTTCCACACCGTTTGCCTTTTTTGCTACTTGTGTGAAGAGACAAACGAGGTGTCCCAAAGACTATGATAGCCCTCGAGGTCTTTGTACAGGGCAAATTTGTGACATTCCGAGAGTTACTGGTCTATTTCGAATTCACGCCCGCCTTCACCGTCCGCTATGTTTGTTTTGTTTGCCGCGTTGCCACGCTTCGCGACAGCCTATCACAAGCATTGAATTCAAATTTGTTGCGAGGCAAGTTGCAGCTTCAGTGATAATACGAGCAGCAAAACTAAAATTTGTTGCAGAAAGTAGAACTCGAGTCTACTTTGTGCAACATGTTGCCTCAACTTGCAACACTGTATTCTGCTGCGAGACAAGTTGGTACCAAACGTGGTAATACGCGCAACAATGTGTTTCAACTTGCAATGCAATAATGTTGCGAGACAAGTTGAAGAAAAATGTTGCCCGTATTACCGGACCTTAAAGAATGATTTCAAAGACTGTATTAAGTTCAGATCTGTTTAAATACTCCCATATAACCTTGCATGCTGGTTCGTTGCAATTTATCTTCACTCATTCGAGTCTTTTGATCCAGAAATATGACAAGCCGGGGATGCGGGGAACCCACCTAGTTCTCAGGCTCTCTCTCTTCTGCCTCCCTTGAGAGAGAGAACCTAGGAACGAGGTTGGCGGAGAACAAAATCGGCAAGTCTCTCCTTCTCTTTCGTGGCGCGTAAGTGGTTCCGGGAAACGGAGATGAAATGCTGCCAATTAAATTTGTCAAACTAGCAGTCTAACCGTTGCTGGGGGACAAAACAAAAGATGAGAGGTTGACGGTCTCACTCACCCTAGGTTTCTTCTCGTTTCTGAAGTAGCTAATATGTGGAGACCTGAAAGACGCATGAAAAATTATTATAAGTTCTACCTTAAAACCTTAACTTCTTTCTCAAGTGAAAAAAAGTTGTTGTTTTGTGTTTTGCGTTATGAAGGAGATTTCAGGTAACACTGTGACAGTCTGCTCGGATTGTTCTTCGGCTGCAACAATTAAAACGCTAGCTTCAAGATGCATTTGAAATCAATTTCCCTTTTTTCAGAGGGTTTATGATACTACCAAAAGTTTAGAGATCGGCTTCGGGTCAAAAATACGTCAGGGGGAAATAATTTTGGGAGAATTTCCAGCTCTTTCCGAGAAAATTATTTGTCATGAAGACTTTACTAAGTAGAAAAATTGTCCAACAATACGTCTTATTTTGCAAAGGCACTCCCAATTTTGGTATCAGTTTTCCCTTTAGTTTTCTCTCAACGTAATGAAGAATACGTAAATCTTCCCAACTACAATTTCAGTACTTCGCTTTTGTTCAAATCCCATGTACAATGCAAGTCACAGTAAGCAAAACAATGTAAGCGTTATCTATTTATTTATTTATTCATTCATTTATTTAATTATCTACTCATTTCCTCCACCTCATGTTGAAATGCTTAAGGCACATAAAGGCACATCGCTGACACCGTTTTATTTCCTTGCGACATGAAACCATTGTGTTCATCTGCGCTCTTTACTGCAAGTTATCGATTCAAGGCCTTTTAGGTTAATTAAGGAAAGCCAAAATATATTTGACAGAGTCACAGAAAACAATAAGGAAAACACAAAAATGGCTCAGCTGGATATCTAGACGGGCCGCCACAAATTGTTGACAGACAAAAACCAGCTCCTGGCTACTTTTCTGACCACTACTTTCACCAATTCACCTCTGGTATCCTCTATAGAAGTATCTACTGGTTGATTTTTAACTAAAATCGTTCGATCACAGCACTTCGCCCGTACGGACCATAGACAGATTTTAACAAAAGAGCGTTTAAAACAGAAGTACAACTGTGTCCGGAGGGCGAAATCCACCAAAAACTCTCCAAGTAAGCCTTTATTTTACATTTCTTAAAGGGTTTTAGGTTGTGTGTTCAAACGGTTTTAGCTTGTGATATTTTCGGGAAGGAAACAAGCCAAGAATTCGTGAAAAGCTTCGTCCAAGAATCTATGTAGCTGCATTTTTTCTCGTGCCAGGGCCTTGCCGGTTGAGAGAGACAGAGAGAAAGCTGGCTCTCGGTATGAAAACTGGGGGAGGTGGGGATGCTGGTGTAGTGATGTTGTGACTGATTTTTTCCGCAATCGCGAGACTACATAGTTCGTTGGCTAAAGAGAACAAAATAACAAACGAACACCA